ATACAGTGAAGAAAGGCAGAAACACATCTTTTCCCAGGGGTTTGCCAGCCTTTTCCCAGGAGTAGGCCTCTTAGAAGCCCTATTCTCCGAGGTAGACTTCGGTGAAGTCCCAAAACTTGGAGATAGGTTTCTGTAAAGCCCCATTCTCTGAGGAAGACTTCGGTGAAGTCCCAAAACTCAGAGATAGGTCTCTGAAGCCCCTATCATGGTCTGATAGATGGTTTCCCATGCTAAGCAGACTCTACTGGAGTCAGCGTGGCACTAGTGATCATCTCCTAAGATTATCCTCCTTTGGTCTCACTGTGTGATTATTTAGGGTCCTGTTTAATTTATCATGTCCAGGTGTCCCCTGTATCATTTGTCTTTTATGTAAGTTTATCTGTTTTAAGGAAGGTAAATGGGAACACAGAAATGATAAGAAATAGGATGAACAAATACAACAGTGATATTTACTAGACACTATGTTGAAAATGAACTATCGAACTGTGGGGACGGGGTTGGGGGAAAATGAGGAGAAAAGAACAGAAGAGGTGACACTATTTAAAATAAAATATATTCATTACCTGTCTTATGTAACTTTAACACACTGTAAATCACCTTTACAATAAGACTAAATAAAAACATCTAAAAAGAAGAAATCAACACAGAATGTTGTAAGAAACAGCAAACTATGTCAGCATGAAGACTTTCCAGATACTAACAAAAGTAACAATAATAGTTATTATGTCATGCTAATACTTTGCTCTAAGTGTTACATAGGGTAGATTTATTCATTTACCTAATTTTTGTGTGTGCTAGAGATTAAACCCAGGTATTGTACATGCTGTTCATGTGCTCTACCATAGAGAAATGCCCTCAGCTTCATTTGCAAATATTTGTCAGACAAATTGAAGCCCTCCTGAAGCTTGCAACCTAGTCATAAATTAAGAGAAATGGGTAATATATGTGGTGCCTTAGAAGATAAGAGCCCAAAGAAATAGGATACTGGCAGAGCGCATGTTGAGTAAGAGGAAAAAGAAGTGGTCCAAATGGCCAGGGTCTGGAGGAGGCCTGATCAACCCATATTTGAACTATATATACCGTAACTAACTGCCAACAAAGGAAAAGCAGAAATGGGCCACTGATGGCTTATGCCTGTGATCCTAACTACTCAGGGAGCTGAGATCTAAAGAACACAGTGTTAAGCCTGTCAGAGCAGAAAAGTCTGTAAGACTCTTATCTCCATTTCTTTATAAAGCAAAAACTGGAGGTTTGGTTCAAGTGCCAGCTATGGGGGAGGGGGGCAAGGTAGATTGTGAAGCTCTGAGGTGAAGCCTCAGTGCCAGAACACACAAATTAAAAAATGAAGAAAGAGAGAAGGGGACAGAGAGTGAGAAGGAGGGAGGGAGAGAGGAAGCAAGCAGTTTGCTTCCAGAGAAAAGTGATAGAGATGAGCACAGAATATTAAACTAGAGGCAATAAGGTCTCTGAGAGTTGAAGAAAACAAACATGGTCTTCAAAACTTTTCTATATGGTTTAAGGAAGTGCAGGTTTCTTTTGATCAAGACAAACTTCCAAGAATATACCTTCACCTTCATAAAAATCAAAATGCAAATATATATATATATATAAAGAGAGAGAGAAAGAAAGAAAGAAAAAGAAAGAAAGCTAGAATGTAAGAATGTAGCTCAGCTCTTTGGCAAGAACTTGCCTAGCAAGTACAACATTCTAGGTTTAAGTCCCAGTATCAAACAAAAGGTAAAAAAATACCCTAAATACTTTTATAAAATAAATTACCCTAAAATATTTTGTCCTGGAAGATTTAAATTCATCTATCACTGGTTGCCAAATAAAGTGCTAAGCAAATCTCATATTCGATATATATGCCCATATAATTTTGATGTCTAGCAGTCCTTTGAAATTTATTTTATTTTATTTTATTTGTGAACATACTGTACAGAGGGGTTACAATTACATGGGCAGGATAAAGCGTACATTTCTTACCAAGCATTGCAGCCTCCTCCTTTGTTTATCCTTCACATCCCTTCCCAGGCTCCCTCCTCCCCCTCTCAGTCCCAATACTTCTCTCCTCCCCTCCCCCCACAGACATTGTAAAGCTCATTATGGACATGACAACTTGTACTTCTCATTGTTGCAACAGGTCCACCTGTATCTTTAAACGACTTGTTTTTCCCCATCTCCTCCACAAGTTATACTGACATCAAATATAGTGAAAGCAGGGGTTATACTGTGGGGGAGGGACATACAAAGCAACAAAGAAATAATCTTATAAATGCGTTAGAAACACATGCATGAAAGAAAAAAAACATTAAAATACATATCTAAGGGTTCATTTTCCTAATATCACATTATCTGACCTTTTCCACTTGACTCATACATATACTAGATATTGCAAATAAGGGAAAGCATGGGGCCTATGTTTCTTTGGGCCTGGCTTACTTCGCTTAATATAATTTTTTCCAAGTCTTTCCATTTCCTAACAAATGGGGCAATGTCATTCTTTCTGATGGAGGCATAGAATTCCATTGTGTATATATACCACATTTTCTTGATCCATTCATCTACTGAGGGGCATCTGGGTTGGTTCCAGATCTTAGCTATGGTGAATAATGCTGCAATAAACATAGTTGTGCTGGTAGCTTTAGTGTGGTCTTGTTTGTAAACATTTGGGTAAATGCCCAAAAGTGGGATTGCTGGGTCATAGGGGAGTTCTATGTGGAGTCTTTTGAGGAACCTCCATACTGCTTTCCAAAGTGGTTGAACAAGTTTACATTCCCACCAACAATGAAGTAAGGTTCCCTTCTGTCCACATCCACTCCAGCATCTGTTGTTGTTAGAGTTCTTGATTTTTGCCATTCTAACTGGAGTGAGGTGGTATCTCCATGTTGTTTTGATTTACATTTCTTTTATGGCTAGGGAGGTTGAGCATTTCTTCATGTGTCTATTGGCCATCCTTCTTTCTTCTTCAGAGAAGTTTCTCTTTAAGTCTTTAGCCCACTTGTTTATTGGGCAGTTGTTTCTTTGAGGATTTGTTGTTGGGGGTTTACTAGCCGTTGTATGGCTAGTAAAGATCTTTTCCCAATCCGTGGGCTTTCTATTGATCTTGCTAGCTATGTCCTTTGCCATGCAGAAGCTCCGCAACTTTATGCGATCCCATTGTCCACCCTTTCTTTGATTTGTTGTGTTTCCGGGTCTCTATTCAGAAAATTTCAGCCTGAGCCAAGGAGACCTAGGGTTTCTCCTATTCTATCCTGTAATGTTTTCAGAGTGTCTGCTTTGACTTGGAGGTCTTTGATCCATTTGGAGTTGATTCTGGTGCAGGGGGATATATAAGGATCTAGCTTTAGTTTTCTACAAGTAGTTAACCAATTTTGCCAGCACCATTTACTGAAGAGGCTGTCTTTGTTCCATTCTATTGTTTTAGCTCCCTTATCGAAGATTAGATGGCTATAGGTCTGTAGGTTCATTTCTGGGTTTACAATTCTATTCCATTGGTCCTGAGGTCTGTTCTTATGCCAATACCAAGCTGTTTTGATTACTATCGCTTTATAGTAGAGTTTGAAATTTGGTATTGATATTCCTCCAGCACTGTTCTTTTCGTTGAGGAGCATTTTTGCTATTCGGGGTATTTTATTGTTCCATATGAATTTTTGGATTGCCTCTTCTATTTCCTTGAAGAATGAGCTTGGAATTTTGATAGGTATGGCGTTGAATTTGTAGACAGCCTTGGGAAGTATTGCCATTTTCATGATGTTAATCTTTCCAATCCAGGAGCATGGGAGGTTTTGCCATTTTTTAAGTTGTGTGTTGATTTCCTTTTTCAAGATTTTAAAGTTTTCATCATAGAGGTCCTTCACTTCTTTGGTTAAGTTAATTCCTAGGTATTTTATTTTTTGTGGGGCTATTACAAATGGAGTTGCTTTCCTAATTTCAACCACACTTTTCTCATTGTTGGCATACAGAAAGGCCATTGATTTTGGGGGGTTAATTTTATACCCTGCTACTTTGCCAAAGTTTTGAATCAGCTTGAGTAATTTGGGAGTGGAGTCTATGGGATTCTTTAAATACAAGATCATGTCGTCTGCAAAGAGGGAGAGTTTTATTTCTTCTTTCCCTATTTGGATCCCCTTTATGTCTGCATCTTATCTTATTGCTGTAGCTAGGCATTCTAATACTAGATTGAAGAGAAGTGGAGAGAGTGGACATCCTTGTCTTGTTCCTGAGTTAAGAGGAAATGGCTTTAGTTTTTCACCATTAAGTATAATGCTGGCTGTAGGTTTGTCATATACAGCCTTTATTGTATTGAGGAATGTTCCATGGATTCCTAATTTTTCCAAAACCTTCATCATAAAGGGGTGTTGGATCTTGTCGAATGATTTTTCTGCATCTATTGAGATAACCATGTGGTTCTTATTCTTGCTCCTGTTGATGTGATGAATAATATTAATTGATTTGCGTATATTAAACCAGCTTTGCATCCCTGAAATGAATCCTGTTTGATCATGGTGTACGATTTTTTGGATGAATTGTTGAAGTCGGTTGGCCAATATTTTGTTGAGAAGTTTTGCATCAATGTTCATCAAAGAAATGGGTCTATAGTTCTCTTTCTTTGATGAGTCCCTGCCTGGTTTTGGGATGAGGGTTATGATGGCTTCATAGAATATGTTGGGTCGTGAACATTCTCTTTCAATTTCATTGAAGAGTTGGAGGAGTATTGGTGTGAGCTATGCTTTGATGGCCTTGTAGAATTCCGCTGTAAAACCATCTGGTCCTGGACTTTTCTTAGCTGGAAGGTCTCTTATTGCTGTTTCTATTTCAACGCTTGATATGGGCCTGTTATGCTGGTTTAACTCATCTTGGTTTAGTTTTGGCATGTCAATATTTGCAAGGAAAAGGTCCATTTCTGTCAAGTTCTCAAACTTATTAGTATAAAGTTTTGAGAAGTATTCCCTTATAATGTTTTGAATCTTGGTTGTTCCAGTCCTTTGAAATTAAATCAGATGCAGAATAGAGACATGAACAGTTACAAGACACAGATCCCTAACTGGCAGCTGGATTTGCAACATACTACACCACAGCTCTAGTATGTCTGGATGTCTTTAGTATGGTATGGTCAATAGATAGCCATTGAAACCAAAGTATTCCAGGATTTAATGTTTCCATATACTGACTTCCAGCATGCTTGACTTTGGCTGAAATTTCACTGGGACTAGGAACCCAAGGGAAGTCTCTGCCTTTTCAATGACATTTGAAATATCTTTTCCTAGAGAAAAAAAATCACAATTCATTGCTCTTTGTTATCCAAACTAAATGAATTAAATTTCAAAAATGAAACTTCAAATTGTGTATGTCTAAAATAATGATAGCTATAAAACATGTTATTTTTTAACAATTAGGACAATTAATCCTTGGGACTATTTCCTTAATATATCATTATTTAAAAAAAGATATATCATCACTAAAAAACAGACATTTGGGCTGGGAAGGTGGCTCTGTGATAGACTGCTTGCCTTGCATGCATGAGGCCCTGGGTTCGATTCCTCAGCACCACATAAGCAGAAAAAGCCGGAAGTGGTGCTGTGGCTTAAGTGATAGAGTGCTACTAGCCTTGAGCTGAAGAGCTGAGAGACTCAGAGTTCAGGCCCCATGACCAAACAAACAAACAAACAAAAAAACCCCCAGACATTTATATCATTTCCTAGACTTCATTCTAGTAAGAAAATGCTACCAATTCTAGTCGCAGTGTCCATCAGCTCACCATATTTGTCTTCAAACAATAAATCCCTTGAATAAATGTGGAAGGGGGAATTATTAACAAAGTTCTTTGTAACACAAATCTGTAAAATGCACAAAGACAGTAATGAAATGCCTGATGACCTTACCCACAGTGGCTACTCTAGCTGAGGCTAAGGAGAGCAAGAGCTTGCCCCAGCTGCTCCAAAATCCCCATCTGATCTGGAGTACATCTTTGGAAATAGTTTCCTATTGTCCCAGTAAATAGCGGGGGGGGGGGAGGGGGGGGGGGAGGGAGAAAGGCACAACAAAGTGTGAAAAATTAGAGAGCCAGAATATAATATACATAAGTTATCTAATTATTAGCCAAAGTATGGGAAACCTAATAGGATTTGCTTAATATACAGCTTGACTAACAATTGCATGTTTTCATTATATAAGCACCATGCAGCAAAGGTAATTACTGATGAAGGCATTTATAGAACTGAGAAAATATTATCTATGGTTGTGAAAACAAGAAAGAAGTGCAATCCTATATTAGCAATGAGCTCTTAACCCCAACTTTTTTTCCCACTGTATGAGGGCCTCACACATATTTGGCTTGCTTGCTCATGACTGGCACTTACCACTTCAGCCATACCTCTAGTCTGGTATTTTGCTGGCATTTGGTTGGAGATGGAATCTGCAATTAATCTGGACCTAAGCACCCTCAGTAGCTAGGATTACAAGTGTGAACCTGGGGTACCAGGTTAACCCCAATATTTTAAATCTCAGTATTTTAGATTCAAGTCAGTGGCAGTCTGTGCTACCTGAACAGGGAGAACTTCTGAAGTCTCAGGGTCCCTGAAAGACTCAACATCTGGTCTTTTCTGAGTGTACACTATAGGTTCCCATTGACTCTCTTGGTGGCATGTTGGTCAACAGACTCAGAATTCTTCACAGAATCAGAATTCTCCACTGACTCACAGGTTTCATATTCAAGGACAGGGCTTGCTTATCAGTTATAACTGGAGTCTCAGGATCAACTTTATCTGACATGATTAGCAAATCACGTAGTCAAAGAAAAGCCCAAGGGAAAAAAAGTGATTGATGTCAGCTTTTCTGGCATAAATTATTAGTTTAAATCTTTTGATACTTTCAAAGAGTCACAGGCAGGAACATTAGTAAATTAATACAGACAAGATCTCACAGATCTTCCCCCAGGTTCTCTTAGTAACAACTTGCATAACTGAAGCATAATTCATTGTGGCAGAATCCACCAATCTTCAGATTTCAACAGTTGTACATGAACTCATTACTGTGTACATTAATTAGATAAAATTTTATCCCAAATACAGTCATGTCTTGGTATCTGCAGGAAACTGCTTCTAGGACCCTCTGATTATATAAGTCATATTTGCATATAACCTATGTACATCCTTCATACAGTTTTTTGGTGAGGGTGGTGGTTCTGGGGTGTAAGCTCTGGCCTCATCCTTGCTGAGCTGGTGTTCTACTACTTGAACTACACTCCAGTCCTCTCTGTTAGTTCTGTTTGAGATAGGCTCTCAAGAGGTTGGAGGCATGGCTCAGTTGGTAGAGTGCCAGCCAATGAGTGAAATCAATAGGTACTGAGTACAAGTCCTGGTCTTAGACCAAAATAGAAAAGAAAAAACAGAAGGAAGAAAACATAAGGGCTCAAGACATTTTTGCCTCAGTCAGCCTCACACATCAACACTTCCACTATGTCTCCAGAGTGGCTAAGATTTTAGATGTAAGCAACCAGTGTTGAGTTCTTTCATATAGTTTAGTTCTCTCTATACTATTTATAATGCATAATACAGTGTAATTGCTAGGCATATGTTTATATTATTTGGAGAACACACACATACACAAACACATACAAACCTCTGTACAAGTTGAGTACATATGAAATTTTTTCCAAGTATTTCTAATTAGCAGGTGGCTGAAACTGCAGAGAGAGGAACTATTTATAGGGACCCAAAGGCATAGATTATCATGACCATCACTGCAAGCTACATGCCATACAATTTAATCACATAGATTTCTACTCTATCCCTTCTTTTATCCCAGCTACTTCCCACACTTCTTCTAACCCCTAGCAAGCAACTACTCATATTCCTCTGAAACTTTGTCACTTCAAGAAGTATAGATGGAATTACATACTGATTACTTGTTAAGAAATTTTTACACAGCATAAGTCATTCCAGACCAACTTTTGTTGTATTAAGAATTTTTAAAATATTTCTGAGTAATTGTCTATGGTATAAATGTATTTTATGACTATCACAGGAATAAAATGATTCAGAAAGCTTATGTACAGGTGTTTATGGGAAAAAAGCTTTCTCTGGGAAAAATGCCTAATCAGTTTTAAATGATACTGTTCATTGGGCAAGTGGCTTAGTGGTAGAGTGCTCACCTAGCAGCATGAAGCCCTGGGTTCAATTCCTCAATACCACATACATAGCAAAAGGTGGAAGTCATACTGTGGTTCAAGTGGTAGAACACTAGCCTTGAGCAAAAAAGAAGCTCAGGGACAGTGCCCAGGTACTGAGTTCAAGCCCCAGGACTGGCCAAAAAAAAAAAAAGACACTGTTATATTCTTTTCCCAAGTAGAATATAATTTTACTTTCCTAGTGGCAATGTATGAGTAATCATGTTCCCCTGAATTCTGATCAACCTGTGTTGTCACTATTTTGATTGAGTCATTCAGATAGGTTAATGTAGTGGTACCTCATGGTGCCTTTTAAATTGCTTTTCTCTAAGGGCTGGGACCAAGGCATCTTTTTATGTGCTTATTTACTGAGTATACTATTTAGTGAAACTTTATTTGTATCTTTTGGTCATTATCCAATCATTCTGGTTTGGGTTTTCTTGTTAAGTACTACAGAGATTTGAGAACACTGTATATTGGAGATTTAACTCCTCTACTATGTGGCTTGCAAATACTAGTTTATAGTTTATCTTTTCCCTGTTTTCCCAGGGTCTTTTACTGAGCAAGTTTTTCATTTTGAGAAGGTTTGTAATCTATTTCCTCTTTAAAATATTTACTAAGAACTTCCTACTAAAACTCTTCCAGAGAATCATTCCATCTGAAAACATTTTTGTCAGAACAGTTTTTTAGGGTTTTGTTTTCTATTTGTAGTGGTGGCCCTACATGAGCAAGATAATGAGTACATTTCTACACTTTTAAGGAACCAATACGCGTTGGGTCTCTCATTGCAAGGGCCAATCTAATTAAAAGGATATACTAAACATATCACAGGCCCTATCTCATCCTCTCAAAGGGAATGTAGCCAGGAAGTGCTCTCAAGTATTTTGTTCTACACTGGTAACCATAGGGACGACCTGTGAAGGTAGCCATGCCCACACTCCGAGTCTCACCTGGTGCCCACATGTAGCTGGACACAGCCCCTACCAGGATCAGTGCTGCTAAGCACCGCCTTCCTTCTAAGTACCTGGATGTCTCCTGGTGGGCAGATGTGCTGTGCTTTTTCCCACATCTCAAATCAGATACGAAAGTAAAAACCAGACAGGAAGTCTGGAGTAAACAAACCCAAAGTTCGCAGATGGCACTCGGCACCGCCCAGCCTTGGGCTGCCTTTTTCCTCCTTTTCCTTCCCAGCGATCAAGGCTACCTGCACCCACCCTGGGACCTACCTCGCTCCTGTAGGCCTTCACTTGGGGAGCACCGTGCACTGGGCCAGCACCACAGCTGCCTCAGCCGCCCAGGCTGCGGAAGCAACACTCCCACTGCCCTGCGAGTACTTCTCCCTACAGGGGTGGTGGGTGTGGCCGGATATATTTCCAGGTCGCGCATCCTCTTCAGATGGAAGCAGCTGGGCTCTGGTTCCTTGACCTACTAGATGGTTTAAAAACTCATTATCTTCCTCACGTAGCTGTAACCCTCTGGACAGTATCTTTACAATAAAAAAATTTAATTTTATAAAAGGTAGACTGATCTGAGTCGCTGGGACGATGTCAGCTGTGAAAAGGAAACTGGGGGTCTGCCTTTGTGTTTTTAAAGATCTGGCCATCAGATATGTAATGAGCGCCAAGTACCCGCCCACACTGTCACCCAGTCCACTGACTTGGCAGTGGGCAAGGCTGACCATGAACAAGTGGGCAGAACAGGGCCATCTAGGCCAGTTCTTGTGAGGATGCTTAGATACATGAGTGGGAGGGGAGGAGGTGATTGAGGACTAACCAGCAAAGGCTGTAACAAATTCAGCAATCTAAGAAAAGAGAAAAACCTGGAAAAAAATAAAAAGGCGATGACTTGGCTTGGAGTGTGGCTTAGTGGTAGAGTGCTTGCCTAGCACACATGATGTCTTGGGCTGGATTCCTCAGAACCCCATACTCAGAACAAGCCGGAAGAAATGCTGTGGCTCAAGTGGTAGAGTGCTAGCCTTGAAGAAAAGAAGCCTAGGGACCAGCTTGGCCTAAGAGTTTCAAAGTGATCACAGGGCTTTTGTAGACCCAGTCTCATAGATTTCTGTGAGCTTCTGATAGAGCTGTCTGGATTGGTCTGTATAGAAAGATGTACCCCTTCAGCAGTGGCTCCCACCTGTAATCGTAGCTCCTCAGAAGGCTGAGGTTTGAGGATTTCAATTCAGAGCAAGCCCAGGCAGGAAAGTGTCTGAGACACTTATCTCCAGTTGACTTCCAAAAAACTGTAAGTGGAGCTGTGGCTCAAGAGGTAGAGCATAAAAGCTTGAGGGGCAGCACCTTGGCCCTGAGTTCAAGCCCCAGAACACACACACACACACACACACACACACACACACACACACACACACACACACACACACACACCACAGATGTTGACCATCAAGCCCATTTGCTTGCCACACTCCCATGTGAAGGATAATAGGAGATGACTGGCAAGAACTACCTGGTGTTAGTTGTGAATGCAAAGGTCCTTGGGCAATTTTACCCTTTCCTTTGTTTTCCCCAGTTTTTTCCCCTCCTATCACTACCACAAATTATTTTTTACATAATATATAGTGAATACAGTGACTGCATTTGCTCAGCTTTCTTCCTACCAGCACTCAGCAAGATATTTATTTCTTTATAATAACGTCACCAGGCACCTGAAGCTCATGTCTGTAATCCTAGCTACCCAGGAGGCTAAGATCTAAGATCACAGTTTGACACCAGCCTGGCAGGAATCTCAGTTAATGACCAAAAAGCCAGAAGTGGTGCTGTGGTAAATTCAAACCCCAGGATTGCTGTTTTTGTTACTGTGGCATTGGAGTATAATTTCAGGTCAATAGTGATAGCTCAAACATTACTCTTTGCTCAGAATTGCTTTGGCTAATGATGGGGGGGAGTATCTTCTGCTTCCAATTCATTTTAGGTTAATTTCTATTTATGTGAAAACTAATGGTGATTGCATTGTATTTATAGATTTTGTCAACAGTATATCCATTTTTGTGATATTAATTCTGCTAGTCCATGAACATAGTAGGAGTTGTAATAAACTTTGGTTTATTTCTGGGTAATTAATTTTGAGGCTATCATGAATAGAATTATTTCCTGTTTTGTTTCTCATTCTGATCATTATTGGTATTTAGAAAATCTATTAGTCTTTTATGTTGATTTTATACCTCGCTACTTGAATTTTTTGATGAAATCTTTATGGTCTTTTAGTACAGGGTCATTTAATCAAATAGGGATAATTTTGCTTTTTCCCTTTCTATTTTTATTGCTTTTATTTATTTCATTTGAGAATTCTGGTATTACATTGAATAATTTCATTGAGTAGATAAAGTAGATACCCTGTATTCTTGACTCAAAAGGAAATACAAGTTTTTCCCAAACAGTATTTGTATGATGTTTTCATATATAGTTTTTACTATATTGAATTCATTGATTCTAGTCTAGTTTGTTCTGGGCTTTTTTTTTTTTTTTTGGTGGCCGTGGGACCTGAATTCAGGGCCTGGGTGCTGTCCCTTAGCTCTTTAGCTCAAGGCTAGCACTCTACCACTTGAGCTATAGCACCACTTTGGCTTTTTTTTTGCTTATGTGGTACTGAGGAACCAAACCTAGGGCCTCATGCATGCAAGGCAAGCACTGTTCCACTGAGCCACCTTCCCAGCGCATGTTGTGGGCTTTTATCATGAAAGAATGATGAATTTTTCCAAAGGCTATGATCTAATCTATTGAGATATTCCTGTGATTTTTGTCCTTTATTCTGGTTTTTTTTATGTATTATAGCTATTGATTTCTAAATGTTGAACCATCCCCACATTCCTAAATGATATCAGATCGATCATTTTGTGTGATCTTTTTAACATGCTGATGAATTCTGCTTACAAGTGTTTCATTGAACATTTTTCCATCTATGTTTATCATGGAAATTGAAATGTAATTTCTTTTTCCTTTTTCTTGTTCTTTACTATCACTACTTGTTTTATTGTGGCCTTATCTGGTTTTGGTATCAGCTAATACTGGTTTCATAGAATGAGTCTGTTACTAAAAGTCCCCTTTCTATACATGGAATAGTGTGAAGAACATTGGTAATGATTCTTTTTTAAAAGATCTGGTAGAATTCAGCCATAAATTCATGTGTTTAGTTGCTTTCTTTTATTATTTTCTCTTGTTGTGAAAATACTATACAGAAGTGTTACAATTACATGGGCAAGGTAATGAGTACATTTCTTATCAAGCATTGTTGCCTCCTCCTTTGTTTCCCCTTCCCATCCCTTCCCATCTCCCCCTCCCCCTCTCCCTTTTCCCCCTCCCCCCACCAAAGTTGTAAAGTTCATTTTTTGACATAACATCTTGTACATCTCATTGTTGCAATGGGTCCCACTTGTATCCCTATTTAAACAATTTTTTTTCCCTTCCCCTCCACAAATTATACCAACATCAAATGCAGTGAAAACAGGGGTTATACCGTGGGGGAGGGACATACAAAGCAACAAAGAAATCATCTTATAAATATGTTAGAAACAATGACAAGAAAGAAACAAACATTTGGGGGGGGGGTCCGGTCATGGGGCCTGAACTCTGGGCCTGAGTGCTGTCCCTCAGCTCTTCAGCTCAAGGCTAGCGCTCTACCACTTGAGCCACAGTGCCACTTCGGGCTTTTTTCTTTTTGCTTATGTGGTGCTGAGGAATGGAACCCAGGGCCTCAGGCATGCAAGGCAAGCACTCTACCACTGAGCCACCTTCCCAGCCCAGAAAAAAAAATCTGAATCTTTATCTTGGGGTTCATTTTGCCTAACATCAACTTATCTGACCATTTCTGCTTGTCTCAGACATATACTAGCTATTGCAAATAAGGGAAACTATGGGACCTATGTTTCTTTGGGCCTGGCTTACTTAATTTTTCCAAGTCTTTCCATTTCCTAACAAATGGGGCAATGTCATTCTTTCTGATGGAGGCATAGAATTCCATTGTGTATGCACACCACATTTTCTTGATCCGTTCATCTACTGAGGGGCATCTGGGTTGGTTCCATATCTTAGCTATGGTTAAATAATGCTTCAATAAACATAGTTGTGCTGGTAGCTTTAGTATAGTCTTGTTTGTGATCATTTGGGTAAATGCCCAAAAGTGGGATTGCTGTGTCATAGGGGAGATCTATGTGCAGTCTTGTGAGGAAACTCCATACTACTTTTCAAAGTGGTTGAACAAGTTTACACTCCCACCAACAATGCAGTAAGGTTCCCTTCTGTCCACATCTCGTCCAGCATCTGTCATTATTACAGTTCTTGATCATAGCCATTCTAATTGGGGTGAAGTGGTATCTCAATGTTGTTTTGATTTGCATTTCTTTTATGGCTAGGGAGGTTGAGCATTTCTTCATGTGTCTATTGGCCATCCTTCTTTCCTCTTCAGAGAAGTTTCTCTTTAAGTCTTTAGCCCACTTATTTATTGGGCAGTTGTTTCTTTATATATCACCCTGTACCAGAATCAACTCCAAATGGATCAAACACCTCGGTGTCAATGCAAACACTCTGAAAGCATTACAGGATGGAATAGGAGAAATCCTAGGTCTCCTTTTCACAGGCCAAAATTTTCTTAATAGAGACCCAGAAGCACAACAAATGAAAGAATGGTTGGGCAAATGTGACTGCATGATATTGCAGAGCTTCTGCATGGCAAAGGACATAGCTAGTAAGAACAATAGAAAACCCATGGATTGGGAGAAGATCTTCACTAGCCCATACAACAGACAAGGGTCTCATATCTAAAATATACCTGGAACTCAAAAAATTAAATCCCTCAACAACAAAATCTTAGTTGCTTTTTTCTTTGTAACCCTCTTTAATTGTATTGTTTGTTATAAATCTGCTTATATATTTTATATTCTCTTGGGTCAATTTTTGTGGGCTATACGCATCTAGAAATTATCCATTTCTTCAGGTTTTGAATTAAAATATAGGTGTTTGAGGTATACTGTAAGAATCTTGGGAAAAAACTGGGTTTTGTTGTTGTGTCCTATTTATAAAATCTAATTATATTAATTTTGAATTTTTTCTCTCCATTTGTTATTTTTTATAAGAAACTTTTTTGTTCCATTGATTTTTTTTTTTGACTGTGTGGGGCTTGAACTCCGGGCCTGGGTACTGTATCTCAGCTCTTCAGCTCTAGGCTAGTGCTCTACCACTTGAGCCACAGCACCACTCCTAGTTTTTTCTGTTTATGTGGTACTGAGGAATGGAACCCAGAGCTTCATGCATGTGAAGCAAACCCTCTACCACTGAGCCACATTCCCATCCCTTGATTCTATGCTTCATTGATTTCTTTTAGTGATTCATTACTTAAGATGAACTCATAAAACACTGCCACAAGATATTGTGACATTACACATTTAATAAATAAACCATAAGGTTATTACTATAAAAGAAATGGGAAAATTTAAATTCAGTATAATGTTTTGTTGGTTGTTGGAAATATTCAAAACATATCTTTTGCGGTTTCAGTCAGTGCTGGAGTCCTGGCTCGAAGCATGATCTTGGGATCCTGCCTCTCCTGGTGCCTCTGATAACCTTTCATCAGGATTTTTCTGTCTGAGGTGCAGTTCTGTGCCCAGGACGATGAATGTTGACATGGATGTTGATGCTGAAAATCAGGTGGAACTGGAGGAAGAAACATGACTTATTAATCAAGTGTTGGAACTCCAACACAACTTGAAGATCTCTCAGCAAGAGTAGATGCAGTTAAGGAAGAAAGCCTGAAGCTAAAATCTGAAAAGCAAGTTCTTGGACAATATATAGAAAACCTCATGACTGTTTCTAGTATTTTCCAAACAACCGACACAAAAAGCAAAAGAAAGTAAGGGATTGAGTTCACTTCTCATTTACAGAATTGCTGCTTCTTTCTCTCTCCCTCTCTTTCTTGCTTTCCTTCTCTCCTTCCCTTCCTCCCCTCCCCTCCATTTCTCCCCCCCCCCTTTTAAAACTTGGGTAGATTCCAAAAGTTACAGTACCTTTGTTTGTAGCTTCATTGAATATTTATGAAAATAATGTCAAATCTAGGCAAAATTAACTACTTAACCAGAGACTTCCATGAGCCTGTGTATTATGTTAGTCCAAGAAAATGTGCAGATGTATTGTAGAGACTTTATAATTAGAATTGCATATATTTATGAAACTTGAGAATGAATGTTTTATTGAATTTGCCTTGATATACAAGCTTAGCAATGTCTTTTACTACGTGCTTACTTAGTAAAATATACAAGAAAATAACCATGTTATGAAAATGTTACCAAAATCATGTACTGAATACAGTTTTATGTATGTACCCATCTGTCATTGTGTGCCTCTCCTCCATCTGCCTCATCCTCCCTATTTCCCTTCTCCTAAGTCAAGATAGTTTCACATTTGTAAAAGTACTTTGAGTAGTAATCACCTGACAGTAACCTAATCTGTAAATCCTGAAGTTAACCAAAACCTTGCCTAAAGTTTGTCAGTTTTGCTTTCTAGTAATAAGATAGGACTGATGGTTTCGTTTTAACCATGTGAAAAGAGATTTGGTCTGTAAAGAGGGATTTAATTTGAAACTAAATTATCAAATTGAGATTTGTTTAAAAACAAAAAAACAACTTTCTTTTGCACCAAATAACCCAGTTGGTATCTGAAAAGATAAGAGTTTTGGTTATGTATCAATTAGAAATAGAAAATCTTGGAGGAATAAATAGAAATAGGTAAAAAATAATTTCATAAAAGTAGCAACCTACTCAAATTTGTAACAAATTAGCAACCTACTCCAGATTTGTATTGTCTCTGGCACATAACAGATCTTTTGGGAAATGTGTGTGTGTGTGTGTGTGTGTGTGAAAATGGGTTAAGTTTGATTGATCTTACATACGCCACATACTATGCTATACCAGCTCTAGGGTCTGGTTGCAATGTTTATTTGTTGTACCCAGTCAATTAACTGATACCAAATTCCTTGAAGAGTGTATTAGTATTAGAATCATGAATGAGACAATTTTATATGTATAATAATTGGTAAGCTCAGTGTTTTTATCTCACTCTTTCTGTAAATTCAACTAATTGGTTTGTAGAATTTTAGTCATTCTTTTAGCAATTTCTAAAAATTTAGTTCATAGATTCCATTTGGTAAAGGAATCAATATCAGAGGTAATATTAAGATATTATACTGGAAAAGAGATCCATTAATATAGCTTATGGTTATTAGATTTTAGCTACTTTAATCATGGAAAATCTTATGTGTTAGTATAAGATTTGATGAATGACTTTAACTATATAAAGATGTAATAGTCATACTGCAAACATTTTGCATCCCTGTTGTGACCTAATTTTACAAAAATTTAAAATTGTGTTGCATTTCTGCTTTGCTGTTTAATAAAAAGATGTTTCAGAGAAAAAACATATATCTTTCTTCTATGACTCAGTAATGAAATATTGTCCCAAGGAGGCCAATCTTTGGAGATTTCCATCCAAGTATTGTATTTAGCCATTGGTGCAAATAATGAGAAACACTACATGGAATTCAATTCAAGAGTCACCTTTACCATCTTTTTCTTCAGCAATTAGCACAGCTAATTGCTTAAATCAGCCATTAATAAACAGAATTTTGCAGATTAATTAGTATTGAATTTGCATTTGTGGTAACAATGTAATTGGCCTTCTCATTTAAAAATATGCATGAGAATTCTCTTTCTACAACACACTAAAATGTTGTGCTACTGAGAAAAATTATACAAGGTGCAGGAGGAAAAACAGTCAAGTCTGTCTTTGCCAATGGGCTGGAAGCAGAGATGATGGAGTGGTTTTACTATGCAAACAACTGGAAGACAGGTTATGGTGCCCCAGCAAGTCCTTGTTACTTGCTGACAATTAGTAGTATCTGTTTAAATCATGCAGCTTTATTGGGCCTTAACAATGTCTTTCAGTTGGTTTCAATTTCAGCAAGGGAAAAGGAGAAAAGGAGAATGTAAAAGTCTGCTCCCAGCTTAGCTAGGAAGTTTAAGGTCATTCTCCTTTTCATCTTCTCTTACTCCCTCCTTTTCTCTTTTGTAGCCCTTTTCTTTCTGTGCATTTTTCTTCTGCTTGGAGAAATAACCTGAATCTGTAAGAAGTAGTAAAGAAGTTTCTAGTACTCATTCTTACCTCTGTCACCCTTGTGCCACAAGCTCTGCCTTCCCCTGTGGTCCTAGACACAGCTTAGTTTGCCTTAGGTGCTCTTCATGCATCCATCCAAAAGACATTGAACCTCTATGACAGTGAGGTAGTATTCTGGATTCTGGACTGTTTCTGTGAATAGCACCGGCACAGATCTTACTTTGTGGAACTTACATCTTGTGGTGGAGGCAGATCCAGGACAATTGATCATTGTTAAATGAGAAAGTAAAGGAGAGCAAGGTGAGGTGAATTGCCCAGCAGCATGGATGTAGAAGGAGGAAGCAATAGGTTAGTCATAAACTTCCCTGAAAAAATGAAGGAGGTGAGGAGTGAGATGGCAAATATCCAGGGATGAAATTTCCACACAGAAGGAAGAGTCAGTGCTAAGCCTGGTGGCAGGTGCCTTCTTGTGAGATCAGAAAATAAGGGAGGCCAGCCAAGCAGGCAAGGGCACAGGGATCAGGGGTGGCTTTTAAGAGGTGGGCTGATTTGCTTTAGGGAAGATCAAAAGGTATTATGTTTGAGAAATGTTTTGATATTGTCTATATAACCTCTCTACTGTGAAAATGTGTTTGACAAATAAACTTCCCCATGGAGAGTCTTCTCTTAATGTCCAGGAAATTTTATTTTGCAAATTTCTTTTTTTTCCATTCACCAATAGAGAGAGGAGCTATAAAGCAGCTAAAGAAACTTATGGTCACATTCTCTCAGAGTTACCAAGATTGAAATATGCTTAAGTTACTGCTAGGTATGCTTGACTAATTCTCTTTAATGTTCAAAGAGACTGCAGAATTCAACAGAAGATGTAGGATTGTTCAGAAAAGGTGACTCAAATAGTTGACTCGACCATTGGCTTACAGAAAAAATGCAGAGATAAGTCTAGAGGTTGATCATAAAGAAGAGGCTAACACCACAATCAAACAGGATGCATTTCAGGGATGCAAATCTGGTTCAATATATGCAAATCGATTAATATAATTCATCACATCAACAACAGCAAGGATAAGAACCACACGATCATCTCAACAGATGCAGAAAAAGCATTTGCCAAGATCCAACACCCCTGTATGATGAAAGCTCTGGAAAAACTATGAATCCATGGGAACATTCCTCCTTATAGTAAAGGCAGTGTATGACAAGCCTACATCCAGCATTATACTTAATGGTGAAAAGTTAAAGCCATTTCCTCTAAATTCAGGAACTAGACAAGGATGTCCACTCTCTCCACTCCTCTTCAATCTAGTATTAGAATGTCTAGCTACAGCAGTAAGGCAAGAGGCAGACATAAAGGGGATCTAAATTGGGAAAGAGGAGGTAAAAGTCTCCTTCTCTGCAGATGACATGTTCTTGTATTTTAAAAACCCCATGGAATCCATTCCCGAGGTACTCAAGCTGATTCGAAACTTTGAAAAAGTAGCAGGGTATAAACTTAACCCTCAGAAATCAATGGCGCTCCTATATGCCAATAACAAGAAAAGCACAGCTGAAATTAGGAAAACAACTCCTATTGTAATAGTCTCAAAATACTTAGGAGTGAACTTAACAAAAGAGGTGAAGACGCTCTGTGACAAAATCTTTAAAAACCTGAGAAAGGAAATTAAAGCAGAACTTAGAAAGTGGCAAAACCTCCCATGTTCCTGGATTGGAAGGATCAACATGGTGAAAATGATAATACTGCCAAAGTCTATCTACAAATTTAGTGTGATACCTACAAATATCCCAACCTCATTCTTCAATGAAATAGAAGAAGCAATCCAAAAATTCATATGGAACGATAAAAGACCCTGAATAGCAAAAACGATCTTTAACAGAAATAACAGTGGTGGAGGAATATCAATATCACATTTCAAACTATACTACAGAGCCATAGTAATCAAAACAGCTTGGTACTGGCACAAGAACAGACCTGAGGACCAATGGAATAGGACTGATGACCCAGAAATGAACCCACAGACTTATAACCACTTAATTTTCAGTAAGGAAGATAAAAAAATAGAATGGAAGAAAGACAGCCACTTCAGTAAAAGGTGCTGGCAAAAATGGTTAATCATCTGTAGAAAACTAAAGCTAGGTCCTTATATATCATCCTGCACCAGAACCAACTCCAAATGGATCAAGACCTTGGAGTCAAAGCAGACACCCTGAAAACATTACAAGAAGGAATAGGAGAAACCCTAGGTCTCCTTGGCACAGGCCAAAAATTTCTTAATAGAGACCCAGAAACACAACAAATGAAAGAAAGGTTGGACAAATGGGATTGCATGAAATTGCAGAGCTTCTGCATGACAAAGGAAATAGCTAGCAAGATCAATAGAAAGCCCATGGTTTGGGAGAAGATCTTAATTAGCCATACAATGGACAAGGGTCTCATATCTAAAATATACTTGGAACTCAAAAAATTAAATCCCCCAACAACAAATCCGCAAAGAAACAACTGCCCAATAAATAAGTGGGCTAAAGACTTAAAGAGAAACTTCTCTGAAGAGGAAATAAGAATGGCCAATAGACACATGAAGAAATGCTCAACCACTCTAGCCATAAAAGAAATGCAAATCAAAACAACATTGAGATTCCATCTCACCCCAGTTAGAATGGCTAGAATCAAGAACTCTAATAACAATAGATGCTGGAGGGGATGTGGACAGAAGGGAACCTTAATGCATTGTTGGTGGGAATGTAAACTTGTTCA